ATATATATATATACACACACACATAGTGTGTGTGTGCCTATTCAACAGCCATTCTCGGGGGAAACAACCGCTGATTGAGGGAGAAACAATCAGCGAGAGCCTTGTTATGTGGAACCCTGCCATCAGACTTGCAAATAATCACAGCAGCTAATTGATTAAATTCAACAAACTCACATGTCCTCACACATGGCACAGGGTCTCCATCCTCATCATGTCAGCAGCGTGCTCCCAGGATTTCCCCAAACAATATTCCGCCGACAAAGCCGCGTCACTTGTCACAGCGATTTTCATCACCTTGCTAACTTGCAATCGATGAAGTGACAACGTGTACGTCTGATGGCTGCTCCAATAAACAGCGATGCAGATCTTTCTAAACAAGCTCCTGTCTGACGTTTGGACTCATGTCTCATACACCCAGTGGAAGGAGCAACGGCTGATTTGTACTTGAAGTACTTTGATCACAGATTTACATCTTTTAATCAGCCATTTACATGTGTCACCTTTAGCAGCACATGTCTGTACACACTTATTTTAGGTCTGTTTTGTTCCTCACCACCTCCTGAGGGAAATGTCTGACCGCGTCTGTCTGCCGCTTGGCATTAACCAGGTAGAGTGCAGTACATTTTTAAGGCTTTTTCACTGAATTGGAGCCAAAAACATTGTTACGAGAGCAGTGAAAGAAAACTAAAAGGGTCAAGTTGTGTGCCAGAAAATGTGCTTTTGTCAAACTCAGGATGAAACGTTTTAAAGAAAGCATTCAGATCTATTCATCAAACTCAAAGATATATTCTGCTTTAATGTCTTCAGCTGAAGCTACTTGTCAGACTCTGTGAAAAAGCAGAAAATGCTTTTATTCAAAGCTTTAAAAAACTTTGAAAGTTTTGCTTGTTGAGACCTGTATGTAAAGCCGGTGCTATAAACAGTTTTTAAGATGGTCAAAGCTAAAACACACTGGGTGCAGCCACTCAAAGTTTTTAGATTTTAGAAATTTGGAAGTAGACGAGGCTCCGAAGGCAAGAACAACTGCCAAGAAAACTGACCTGACCGTTGCACCGAGCTTCCTCCTAGAAGAGGTGTTAGTAACTACACTTATCCAGACACGATTCTTTTATCCAAGTGTACAAAAAACAAGATCAGCTTAGAGCCCAAAGAATTGAAGAGAGCCATTGGGAGACACTGCAGCCAAGATCAGTTCAGTTCACTTCAATTCTATTTATACAGCGCCAAATTACAACAACAGTCGCCTCAAGGTGCTTTATATTGTAAGGTAGACCCTACAGTAATACATACAGAGAAAAAACCCAACAATCATATGACCCCTTATGAGCAAGCACATTGGTGACAGTGGGAAGGAAAAACTCCCTTTTAACAGGAAGAAACCTCCGGCAGAACCAGGCTCAGGGAGGGGCGGGGCCATCTGCTGCGACCGGTTGGGGTGAGAGAAGGAAGACTGAAGGATAAAACACATGCTGTGGAAGAGAGACAGACATTAATAACAAGTATGATTCAAGGTGAATATGCTGTAACCCTTCTGCAGGTGAAGGCTAATCTTGTTGCCTCTGGCCCACTCAAGCGAGGCTTACAGGATAAACATGTGTGGAAAGCTTCGCAACAAAGAAAGCACTGAGGCCACCTCACTAAAAGACTATCAGGAGTAGCATAATATGTGTTAATGCTTCATCAGTTTCAGCTTGCAGCAAATAATCATTGATGGGGTGGCTGTAGCTCAGGTGGTAGAGCAGGTCATCTACTAATTGGAAGGTTGGTGGTTTGATCCCTGTCTGCTCCAGTCTGCATGCCAAATATCCTCGGGCAAAATACTAACGTCAAGTTGCTCTTTGATGCAGTGTTAATGTTAGATAGAAAACAGTGCCTGTGTGAATGAGGCGAGCTGTGCAAAGCTCTTTGAATGTCAAAAAAGGCGCTATAGAAGAAGCGGTCCAAGCACCTGAGCTATAAATGTGAAGGGGCTTCTCTTTCATGACTTTAAATCTGTAAACTGAAAATGTAAAAGTTCAAAAACACTTGACGTGTTTATGAACTTGTGTTTGAGGTTTCAGATGTCAGTTAAAACACATTTTGTAGATTATGCTCACCATTGCAGTCAAAACGGACAAGAAAGCAGTATGTGCTGTTTGCATCGTGGGTTCTTTGTGACTAACAAGCCCTGTCGTGTCATGTGGGTGTGGAGTGTGAGTCAATTGTGATATCTGGTTTGAAAAAATATGGCAAATATGTTTAAGTCCAGGATTCAAAACAGTAGGAGGAGTTGTCACTGTGCCTGGATCCATCTTTTATATACAGTGTATGTTTTCGACCGCCGTGTCTTTGTACTGACCTAATCTTGGCTGTTCACCTCCTGACTTCAGTGCCATACACTCACAGCAGGCATCAGTTATGAAAATATTAATTTAAAGTTGTGTGTGGTATTAGTTGGTTAGGTGGTGCATTTGTTTTTGTTTCAGACTGTTTTTCAAGTATAAAGATTTAATCCCAGTGAAAGGTCAGTGACTGGAAAATTGTTTTCTCAAAAATGTGCTGTTGACAGAAACAGAATCAAACTGAGCCAGAACAACCATGGTGACTATCTTTTAACTTCAGAGCATTCATCACATTGTTCTCAGTGTTTTTTTACCCACTTCCTGCCATGCTTTGATTATGCCTGTCACTTCATGTAAATGCAGTCTGCTGCTGATATTTTATTCCTGACAGCGTTCAGTATGCAGCAACACCGAGCTCGTGTTTGCATGCGTGGCACCAGACGTCAGCGCGTTGACAAATTTTCACCCTGGCAGAGAGGCTTTGTACATTTTCAAGGATGTTTATATAATTCTGTCAGTTCTTCAATGAAAATGACACCTGAGGGATGAGCTCTCCTGAGCTGTAGGAGGAGCTCAGTGTTTTTCACTCATGAATGATGTTCAGCTCTTTTTAATCACAGTCTTTCTTGTTTGTCTTTCAGGCCAATAAACTCAGAACCAAGACCCTGCACAATACACTCAACCCAGTCTGGAATGAGACCCTGACCTACTACGGCATCACTGATGAGGATATGGTCCGCAAAACACTCAGGTACTGTCAGTGCTACGCACGTGTGTCCACTTAATGAATGGAAAGAGAAGGAAGGGATGAAAGATGTGGAAAAAAGAAGAAAGGAGTGGTTGGACATATGGATACAAATGAAGAAATAAAAGGAAGGAAGGAGGCATGGGAGGGAGGAAGGAAGGAAGGAAGGGGGCGTGGGAGGAAGGAAGGAAAGAAGGAAGGAGGCGTGGGGGGTAGAAAGAAAGGAGGAAGGGAGGAAGGAAGGAAGAAGGCATGGGAGGAACGGAGGAAGGAAGGAAGGGGGTGTGGGAGGAAGGAAGGAAAGAAAAAGGAAGGACGTGTGGGAGGAGCGAAGGAAGGAAGGAAGGGGGCGTGGGAGGAAAGAAGGAAGGAGGGAAGGAAGGAAGGAGGCATGGGAGGAAGGAAGGAAGGAAGGGGGTGTGGAAGGAAGGAAGGAAGGAAAGAAGTAAGGACGTGTGGGAGGAGGGATGGAAGGAAGGAAGGAAGGGGGTGTGGGAGGAAGGAAGGAATGGGGCATGGGAGGAAGGAAGGAAAGAAGGAATGAAGGAAGGAAGGAAAGAGGGAAGGTTGCTTGGGAAGAAGAAAGGAAGGAAGGAAGGAAGGAACTGGGTGTGGGAGGGAGGAAAGAAGGAAGACAGGGGGCGTTGGAGGAAGGAAGGAAGGAAGGAAGGTGGTGTGGGAGGAAGGAAGGAGGGGAGGAAGGAAGGAAAGGAATGAAGGAGGTGTGTGAGGAAGGAAGGAAGGAAGGGGCCGTGGGATGAAAGAAGTTAAAGGGAAGGAAGGAAGAAACCCCAAAAAAGGAGAGGGTAGGGTAAATGAGTAAGGAAGCAAGAAAGGAAGGGAGCATTACATAGTGAGGTAAGTAAGGAAGGAGGAAAGATGGATGGATAGATGGAAGAAGCAATGTAAGGAAAGAAGCAGTAGGGAAAGCAAGAAAGGAACCAAGGAGGCAAGGAAGAAGGGAAGGAATAAAGGAGGAAAGGAAGAGGCAGTAAAAAATGGGGAAGGGTGGAAGAAGGTTTAAAGGGAAGGAGCCAAAAGAAGGAAGGAACAGAGTAAGCAAGGAATGGAACAAGGAAGAAAGGAAGTAGCAAGGGATAGAAGGAAGGAAGTGAAAAATGAAAATAGAGGAATAATAGCCAAGAGGAAAAAAATGGAAGAAAATAAAACTTAACCAAAGAACAAAAGGAAAGGAAGTGAAGGGGAAATAGAAGACAAAGTAAGAAAATAACAAACACATCTTATAAGGGGAAAAGGATGTGTGTAGTGAACAAGAAGAAAAATAGGAGGGAGAGTTGGGATACAATAAATCTGTCTTTTGTTGTTTTGGTGTGCTTAGCTGCCGTGGATCTGTTTTTAAAGGCTTCAGAAGATCATTTTCAGGGAGCGGTGATGTTTGACAGTTCTCTTCTTCTTGGTTTCTGTTTTAGACTAACTACATTACAGCCCGTGTTTAACAGCAGCCTCTCAAGCAGAAGTGAATGATGATGTTGCTTTTCCTCTTTCTTCCTTTTCACTGCAAGTTTGTATGCCAAGTCTGGAATAGCTTCAGATCGTAATAACAGTTGGGAAATCCTTTATTTGTCAGATTTCCAAATAGCGCTTCTGTTTGGGTGAGAGGACTTCCTGTTTGTTTGGTTATTTGTGTTTCACTACAACACCTGAGAACACACTAAAACTCCATCTTCCTCAGATAAATGCAGTGCCCTTATGCAATGGAAGCACTTTGTTTTTATTACTTCACCGTTCTTTGCTCCTGTATTTTTACCAAAGTGTTAACACTGTACAATCAAGTGGCGGAGGTAGGTTATGCAATCATATGCATAATCATTTTGTACATCCCAGGTGGGCCGTATGCAGTGGAGGATTTCAGTTTGCTTTTGTCTTCACTTACCCCCAAGCACCCCAGTAGCAAATGTGTTTCTAGAGTTTATGTTATGTGCTGGAATGCCGTGAAAACATTTCAGGGACTTTCACAGCATTTCATTTACCGGCTCCATCGATTTGTCCTCCAGTTCACTTCCTCAAGATAAATGTGGGTGGAACAAGTCCTCAGCTTAATGATCCTTTTGGTTTGTTTGTTCCTCCTCTCAGAAAAAAAAGTGTTGTTCCTGAAATAACACACAGGTGTGTTTCTACTTCAAAAAGCTGGAAAAAGTCCCCACTAGTCTGGGTGGTTAGGGACGTTTTACATGTTTTATATTAAAATACACGCTTGTAAAATAAAGCATTGCAAAAATTGTTTTTCGGTTTGCAGCATGCCGAGGTCCACCCACGAATCTAAACTGACCCCTTGAGCCGACATTTGACATGCACTCATTGAAATGGCCACTAGAGGGTGCCCAATTATATTTTGCACATAATCACATAATCTCCACTTAACTGTTTTCTCTTTGAAGGACCGGTATTCACACCTCAAGTTACCTTTGGGACTTAATTTATTAAAGATCCCTATTTATGTCCTTGTGGGCTCTGCTGGAGGTCTCTTCCTGTCAAAAGGGAGTTCGCCCTCTCCACAGTTGCCAAGTGCTCCTCATAGGGAGATATTGTAATTGTTGAGGTTGTTGAACTTAGTTAAACTGTAAATTCTTTTTTTTCGCCTGCTTTTTCTAATTTCACTTAGATTTGCGCACTAAAACCTCGACTGTTGTTTGGGGTAAAATACTCCTCTTCACAGCTGTAATCTTATTTAAAACATGAGAAACTGGTGGTGACAGACAGATCTCACAAATGCCATAACACAATACGTCAGGGCACAGAATCAAGCTCAAAATGTCTTCAAAGATTTCCAGCCCATTCTGAGAAGCAAGCGCTTTCTGAGAAGCAAGCCCGTGCTAAGAAGGGAGGTTTCTCTGCAAGTCTCCCTTCTTAGAGTCAGTTAACACTAATGGGCATGTTTTATGCTGGTAACATTTTGCCATTAAATACAATGTTTATCTTGATACAGTACTGTGCAAAAACTTCTTCATATTTATCTAGGAAGATTAGAAATGGGTGCAATGATTTATTGAAACATGCAAGCATGCATGAAGCTACAGTAAAAGAGGCAAAAGCAGAGTTTTTACAGTTCTAATGAGCTTTTCAGTATTTGGTATGATGACCTTTGTTTTTCAACACAGTCGAACTTTCTTACAATTTCTTTAAGTAGTCTTCAGGACTGGGTCTCCAGCCTTCTTAAAGGACATTCAAAGCTCTTCTTCGAATTTTAGCTGGTTGTTCTTCTGTTGTCTGTCACGATCCCACACTGCTTCAGTATTGTTGAAATCTGGGCTCTGTGGAGACCAGTCCGTGACTCATAGTGTTCCTCTGTGTCTTCTATCCAGGTAGGTTTTTAGTCTTTCACGGTGGTATTGTGTGATGGATTAAAATCAGATGGTTCCCTTTTGCGTTTATAATTCTATTGAATTTTGCACCAATGGCTGAAATCAGCTCCAAACCATGAGAGACGCCATGTTTTTCAGGTGGCTCTAGACCCTCACAGTCATATCGCTCTCCTGACCTTCTCAGGACCTCCTCTGTAAGACCTGATGATCAGTCTGGTTCTTGTATAATTTGGCAAACTGCAGCTCTTTTCCTGTTTCCTTTCCTCAAGAATGGCTTCTTCACTGCTCCCCTTCCAGGCCATTTCTGATGAGGCGTAAACAAACAGTAGGTGGATCAGCTGAAGAGCCCGATGCATCTCTCTGGTTCTGTGTCAGGTGTTTGCTGGATTTTTTTTTTTTGCATTTCCTGAGGACGTGAATTTCAGATACTGGTTATCTGCTGTATTTTTTTTAGGCCTGTCACTTTGTCCTCCATTTGTCCAGCAAACAAGACAGAAACAAGGGACACACAACATTTTTTATCACCTCTATAAGTTTACACAAGTGACTACCAAATCATCACAGAATGTTTGCAAAGGTTTTATTGCATTACTTCTAACAGCTTGAATGTATTTTGTGAAAACATGCTTTCCTACTACACAATATAAGCTGCAAAGCACTCGCTGTACTTCTGGGACAGCTGGAGTAATTGCTGGACTGCAGTGACCGACTCTCAACCTTATCGACACGCTGCAAATACGTGACTGTATTTTGCTGATTATTTTGTGTTGCGGAGCAGAAAAAAAATACTGTATTGTTACTGGACTGAATGCCACAACAACAATGAAGGCCTGAAGCAAATGTAGCAGAGATGAGATGTGACAGACACTGTGCACACAAGCCAAAAGATCTATTCACACACACAAAACACCTTTATTAACCATTTTCCAGAAACAATAGACTGCGAGAAAAGCATCCATGCTTCCAAAACAACGCAACCTATTTCTTCTTGGAAATTGAAATTTGAATTTAGCACCTGTCCAGTTATTTTCACTGAGTCTGATTGCAGCACGTCCCATACAGTCTACTGTATTAGTGATGCATATTAACATAATACAACATCCTAACGCTGTGGGGTTCCTAAAGGCTGCATGTTTTCCTCAGTACTGCAGCTGATTATGCAGCGGAAAAGCACTTGAAACAAACAGTATTCCCCAACACAGGCATGCTGGAGCCATGAGTGTGAATCATGTCACGTTAGGGCGGTGGGCGCTCTCTGCATTTATTGAAAGCATAGGTCTGCAGGGAGCACCAATAATTGGCTTTCATTATAAATTTAATGAAATGCTGGCGAAGAATATAGATCTCCAGTAAAACACAAAGCTCATTTTGTGGCCCCGCGCACCTTTTGGTCCTCAGCGGCTTTGACTGCAAGAGACCTTTCGGTTCCCCATCAATCATTAGCTTTTGTGACTGTAGCCTACTGTGTTATATTATAAATCCGCGTCTTTATTGTTGTTAAGAAAGGACGCCGCCTTGCACTGAAAAGAGGATTTGTTTTGTTTGTGTGTTCAGTGGAAACAAATGCAAAGTGGGCACATAATAGAAATCAGTAAACAGGCGGAAAGGACAATGCGCCACAGCACAGTTCGATTCGTGCTGCACTAATTGAGTAAATAAGACGAGCAAATGGAGATGTGTTCAAGATGAATTCGTGACTGGGTCTTAAATGACTTTGACATGATCGGGAACAATGTCAAATTTTTCTCGACGTCTTCTCACGTAGAGTTTCCCCTTCCATCTTAGTATGTTTGAATCTTTTGATCCGTGCACGGTTGAACGCTTCCTCGTGTATAATTATCTCATCATTTCCTGTCATGCTGATAGAGTCTGACAATGATCCCTGCAGAACTATTTGGTTGTAGCTTCAGTGCTCTGAGTCCTGTGGTCCTACAGATTTAGCAGCTGTGACTACAAAGTACAAATTGAAGCCCTGTGAAGGTGGATGGTGGAAAATGACTGGTTTTATGGCTTTAAGCCTCCTCTCAGCAACAAACCCTAACCTAAACCTCGCTTTGCTCATGTCCTCCTACACTTCTGTTCTTGTCATCTCAGGATTTCAGTGTGTGATGAGGACAAATTCCGCCACAACGAGTTCATCGGGGAAACGCGAATCCCTCTCAAGAAGCTGAAGCCCAATCAAACCAAGAATTTCAACAACTGCCTGGAGAAACAGTTACCTGTAAGTTCACTTCATCCCACACACACAGCTGCATTTTTATGTTGTTTAAACGTGATCGTGTTGTTGTTTCTTGAGGGGCTGTACTCACAACAACATTTTAGATCCTAAAGATTGTGCCAATATTACAGACATGGCTCTGCTGTCTGATAGACATGTTATTAAATGCCATGTGGAAGTTTAAGTCAAAATTTCCACCAAAGAAGAAGTTCTGTATGATTTGTCATATCGTATCATTTTATCGATTATAACTAAATTAAATAAACAAAATCTTCTAGATGAAGAGAAAACCAAACACACGATTTGCATTGATGACATTCTAATCCATGTTTGTTTTTCCAAATGTGCAAATCACCATGCAACAAGTGACACTGAATTTACATGCAAATATAGGTGTGACAGCCCTTTAGTTATCAAATTAGTGGGCAGTTTAATGTAATTCGATTTGAAAAACAACAAAATACATTTACTGCAATCTTTACTGCAATAATCTGATAGATATTTCTTGCTTTGTAAAGCTCACTTTTCCTCTTTTTGCACATAGAAGCAACATATTTCTGTCCCAGGTGAAGTTTTTGCCAACGTATCTCAACCAGTTTTGACCAGACTGCTGTTTCACCCTACTTTCATATTACTTCTTACTTCTTGGATCCTTAGACCAAATTGTAAACCTTACTGTGTCCGGTATACATCTGCCTAGCTTAAGATTAAAGAGTAATTTAGTCATCATTACAAAGCATAAGGTTGTTCCAGTATATTTCCAGTGGAGTCACTTTATTCTGCTAAGAAAAACACTTCAAATACAAATCTGTGAATAAATAAATTGATCATAAGAAAGAAGCTAACACTTCTGATAAACAGCTCATGTCAGCAGAGCAGAGCTGACATGAGCTGCTTAATTATAACTAATGTTGCCAGGTATGAAAACTGCCTTGAGAAGCAGTAAGCTTGAAGTCATTGTGTTTTTTTCATTATTTATTTGTGTGTAACAGTGTAACTGCATAGCATGTAATACTCAACATTATACTCTGCTCAGTGCAATATGTTACGTGTAGGCCGAGACCATAATCATCAGCAGCAGTCCATCATTTTCAGTGTATTAAGTGACTCCAGTGTGGGTTAGACTTGGCAAGCTTGCTCATGTTCACAAAGACCAGCACTGGAACAGCTTGATTTTCCACATCTGTTGCACTGTATGACCATCTGACCGGGAGTGATGGGCCGTCAAGGCGGTGTAACTTTGACGACGTCTCTCTTCAACATGCATGAATAATT